GTTATAAACTCTTCCCTTTATTAATAGCTCTGACCATTACATTTTTCCATGCTTCCCTAATTTACCTATGATATCACCCTTTAGTCTAAATCATTTATCCATTTTGATCCCATCTTGGTATGTGGTGTGAGATGCTGTTCTATGCCTAGTCTCTGCCAAACTGTTTTCCAGTTTTTCAAGCAGTTTTTGTCAAATGTTGAGTTCTTACCCCAAAAGTTTAGACCTTTGGGTTTATCAAGATGCTAGACTACTATGGTCATTTGCTACTGTATATTATGTACCTAATCTATTCACTGATCTACCACTCTATTTTGTAACCAGTACCAGACTGTTTTGATGATTACACTTTGTAATATTGTGTAAAACCTCGAACTGCTAGGCTGCATTCCTTAACATTTTTTCCATTTATTCCCTTGTCATTATTGACTTTTTGTTTTTCCAGATGAATTTTGGTACTATCCATTATCCATTATATTTTATGTCATCCTGATATAATTGGCTCATTAGTACACCCTCCTTCTATGTAAAATCCTTTCAATTGCCCTAAAAATAATAAAGATTTTAGAAGATAGATGTTTCATTTTCCCATATAGAAAGGTAAACACCTTAACATTATTGTCCCTTATTTCTCTTTCATGTTTACATTTTTATCCTTCTCTTAAGTCTTGCATTTGAAAGTAAAATTTTTGGGGCAACTGGGAGGTGCAGTGCATAGAGTATTGGCCCTGGATTCAGGAGGACCTGAGTTCAAATCTGGTCTCACACACAAAACATTTACTAGCTATGTGACCCTAGGCGAGTCACTAAACCCCATTGCCTAACGTCCCCCCCCAAAAAAAAGTAAGTTGTCTACTCAGTTCTTGTCTTTTTACCAGGAATGTTTAAAATTCCTTTATTTCATCAAATATCCATTTTTCCCCCTTGGGGGATTATACTCAGTTTTGCTGGGTAGGTTATTCTTGGTTGTAATCTCAGCTCTTTTGCTTTCCAGGATATCATATTTCAAGCTCTCTGATCCTTTAATGTAGAAGTTGCTAAATGTTGTGTGATCCTGACTGAAGTTCCATGGCATTTGAATGGTTTCTTTCTGACTGTTTGACATATTTTTTCTTTGATCTGGGAGCTCTGGAATTTGACTATAATATTCCCGGGAATTTTCATTTTGAGAAATCTTTCAGGCAGGGATCAGTGGATTCTTTCAATTACTATTTATACTCTGGTTCTAGGACAGCAAGGAAATTTTCCTTAATAATTTCTTGAAATATGATGTCTAGGCTCTTTCTTTGATCATGACTTTCAGGTAATCCAATAATTCTCAAAATATCTTTCCTTGATCTGTTTTCTAGGTCAGGTGTTTTCCCTGTCAGATATTTCACATTTTCTTCTTCTTTTTAAAAATTCTTTTGACTTTGATTGTTTCTTGATGTCTCATGGACTCACTAGCTTTCATTTAACCAATTTTAGTTTTTAAGGAGTTATTTTCATAAGTGATGTTTTGTACCTCATTTTCTACTTGGCTAATTCTTTTTTTTTAAGGTGTTATTTTCTTCAGTATTTTTTGTGCCTCTTTTCCCAGACTGTTAATTGCCTTTTCATAATTTTCTTCCTTTGCTTTCATTTCTTTACCTAATTTTCCTCTACCACTCTTATTTGATTTTGAATTTTTTTCATTTTTTTCCAGCAATTCTTTTTGGGCTTGTGTCCAATTTCCATTTTTCTTTGAGGCTTTGCTTGTTTTTTGATTTTGTCTTAATCTCTCCTGTAACCATAGTAGATTTTTATGGTTAGGTTCTTTTTTTTTTCTGTTTGCTCATATTTCCACCCTATTTCTTGATTTCAAACTTTATGTTATTGTTGAGCTCTGCCCTCGGCATGGGGGTGGGGCACTGTCTCAAGCTTCAGGCCTTTTTTTTTTTTTTACACTGCTGCTTTCAGAGCTAGTTCTGAAGGGTTGGAATCTTGGGGTACTTCTAAGGTACTATGATCTGGGGAAAGGTGTGGTCACCACTCTCTTGGTCTGCACTCTGGTCCTTACCCAAGAAGGGTCCCTGATCCCTTGGGATTGCAGTCACTACTCCTCAAGTTTCCTCCTCCCTTAGGACTGGAAGTGATACTGCTGCTCAGAGCTTCCACTTGACTTAAGGTGCTGCTCTCCACCCTTGAACTATGACTCAGAAGTGAATATAGGCAATGGTTGCTCCTCAGGGCTTCCACCTTCTCTTGACCAGAAGTGGGTATAGGCAATGGATTGTCATAAAGCATCTGTTCCTTTGTCCAGTGCTAGCATAAGGTTCCCTTGCAATCTCTTTCTGGCCACTTGCCAGGTCTTCTTACTGTCTCTGGCTTAAGAGTTCCTGAAGCTGCTGCTGCTTCTGTCACCACCATGTGTCCCATCATTGACGTTCCATCCATATGAGTTCTGGGCCAGCCTTCCCCTCCCCCCTCAAACTCCTCCTGCCATGTCACAGAACTTTCTTTCTAACCTCCTGAGTTGTCTTGGGCTGGAAGAATTTCTCACTTTGACCTTTTTTTGGCTATTCTATTCCACAAGTCAATTAAAGGCACTATTTTAAAATTCTTTGACAAGGAATGTTGGGAGATCTCGGCTAAGTGCTTCTCTATTCTTCCACCTTGCTCTGCCCTACTACAAAATCTTTTTCAAAATATTGCATTGTATATTTATTAGTATCTTTTGTTCCTATATCACTTATATTTCCCAATGTATCCATCCCGTGCCCTCTCAGAGATGCACCCTTTATAGCAAAGAATAAAAATGAGAGGGGGCGAGTTCAACAAAACTAACCAACATATTGGGAAAAAAATGAAGTGCCCCATGACCATATTCCCCCACACATTTCCAGAAGCAGCAAAGAGGTGTCATCTCATATCTCTTTTTTGGGACAAGGTTGTTATAATTTCACTGCAATCAATTTTGACTATTTTGTTGTTGGTATTTCTATTTGTTGTAATCATGTTTATTGTTTTCTTAGTTCTGCTTATTTCACTCTTCATCACTTCATATAATTCTTCCCATTTCTCTGAATTCCTCAGGTTTATCATTTTTACTGCAAAATAATATTCGTTATATTCATATACCACAGTTTGTTCAGCTGCTCCTCAAAGAAAATGCACTCACTTTGTAATGCCAAATTTTTAATAGAAGCTATAGAATTTTAAGAAGTAATAGGACCTTAAGCATTTATCTTTCAGCTGTCATTTTTATTGATGATATATTTAGCAAAATCTAAATTATATTTATACACAAAGTTTTCTAAATTGTAAATCAATTAAATAATGGTTAATTGCATAAAATTTGATTTAATATGATATGGCATACTTGTGCACTGTACAAAATTTTTTTCTTTGTAATTCTAGTCTAATTTTTACTGCAAAATCACAAAATGAAGGAATGCCCTCATCAAAGTCATAGAATTTAAATAAACTTCTGTGGGAACATTTTTATAGGCACATTTAAGTATACATCTGGGGATCATAAGGTCATAGATTTAGAGTTAGAAGGGATCTTAGAACTCATTTATTGCAATTCTTTCATTTTACAGATGAGAACCATAGTGTAACTAGCTCAAGTTGTGCCTTTGCATAGGCAATCTCCTTTGCTTGAAGGCACTCCCTTCTCATTTCTGATTTTCAGAATCTTATTCTCTTTCAAGGGTGTCTCAGATTAGATGCCACCTCCTCCAAGAGGTCATCCGTGATCCTTCAGTTATCCATGCTCTCTCCCACTTCAGATAACCTTGTGTTTACTTCTTTTTCAACTGTACAAGTATTCTTATTCATGTAGGTATGATCACATCATTCTCCTGCTCAAAAATTGACATTGGCTCCCCTTTGCCTCTAAGACAAAATACCAGATCCTTAATCAAGTCCTTCCCAATCTGCCTTCAATTGAACTTTCTAGCCTGATATTACATTACTCAGATTCATTCACTCTATGTTCTAATCAACCTCATGAGAGAGACTGCTGAAGAGATAGCAAAGAAAGAATGAAATTTCCAATATTCTCAAACACATCTTTAACAGTATTAAGTCTGTTCAAAAACAAATCAAAGCCACCATAAGATAAACTGGGCTATTCCAGCACTAGCTAAAAGAGAAAGTTCATTGTTCATTATAATCATGCAATATTATGGCACTCTACATTGCCCTAATACTCTTTTCCCTTATTTCCAGGTATTTGGTCACAAGATAAGTAAAATCAAAATAGCAGGAGAGCATAATTTCAAGTGAGTTTTTGAAAACCATTTAGAATTTCTAGGACTTCTTTTGAGTCTATTAAACAAGGCTTTCACTTGATCTCTAATCTTATTCATTCATACATACAATGTGCAAGATGGCAGAGTAAGAAGCAAGTCGCTTTCACCCTCCCTCATTGACCTCTGAAAGCCCAGAAAATATCGACCCAGGAAAAACCCTGAGCCAGCAAAAAGACAGGTCACAGAAGTCTTGTAGCCCAGGAAGTTTGGGGATTAATGGGAAAGGCCCCTCTTGCTCTGGGGGAGGGGGAGCAGTACAAGACTGGAGGCATCCCAGAAAGCCAGCAGCAAGCCCCACCTCAGCGTAACAGGGGGAGATCCTGAGACTCAGGTTGGTGGAGCCAAACATTCAAGGGCAAGGCCTGGGTGAGCAGGAAAAGAAGCTTGGGTAAGTACCCCCTTCACTCCAGCAGGAGAACTCAACATTTTTTTTTTAAAAAGTCAGGAAATAGGCAAACACCATGAACAAAAAGCAGAAACAGAAAATGATCCCTAGATTCTTATTTTGGGGAAAGAGAAGATCAAAGCACAAATTCATTGTCAATATACCCACATCCAAAACCTCAAAGGGAAATATGAACTGGTCTCAAGCCCAAAAAGCCTTCTTGGAAGAGCTCAAGAAGGATTTTAAAAGTCAAATAACAGAGGTAGAAGAAGAATTGGGAAAAGATATGAGAGGTATGCAAGAGAGAGTCAATAGCTTGCAAAAGGAAGGACAAAAATTAACTGTAGAAAACAAGTCCTTAAAAAGTAAAATGGGCCAAATGGAAAAGGAGGTACAAAACCTAATAGAATGTGTACAATGCTATGAAATTTTCAAAACATATTCGTTTCTATTATCTTGTTGGAGCCTCATGTGACTGAGGTAGGGAAGGTCCTATTAATCTCATTTTACAGCTAGAAGAAACTGAGAAAGAGAGCTGTTAAATTACTTGCTCAAATAAAACCCATGCTTTTTTTTATTTCCAGTCCTGGGCTGTATTCATTTTTCTTTTTTTCATCCTATATTCTTACAGCAAAGGCAAAACTTAGAAAGGCAGCTGGGTTGCACAGTGGTTAGAGCATCGGACTTGATGTCAGCAAGACTTGAGTTCAATCCAGCTGAATCCAGTCAAATCCACATTGCGTGACTCCGAGCAAGTCATCTAATTTTTCTGTGCCTCAGTTTCTTCATCTATAAAATAAGTAAAAGTAATAAATTATTAAATAAATAAAATAGTAATAGCACCTACCTCCCTGAGTTGTTGTGAGGATCAAATGAGGTAATATTTGTAAGGCAGTTTTCAAACCTTAAAGAGCTATATAGCCTAAATATTATTATTAACAACAGTATGAAAAAAACCCCACAAAAATCTCACAACTACAGAAAAGATGCATTACTAAAAGTCTATTCAGATTAAAGGTAAAAATAAAAAAGGAGGCCTGGTAGAAAAATGGCCATTGAGGGTCCTCTTTTCATATAGGGAGGCCCTGGATGCCACAGAAAAAACCTCCAGATTACCGAGAGACATCCTCGATTCACTCACCTCTAAAGAGGCACACCAGGAAATGTTCCTTCATCCTTGGGACTAAGCCGACCCTGACAAATGTGAGCAGCAGGGACAAGGTATTCAGTCATTAAGCAATTTAGCTATGACCTCTGTCAGGTTAATTCAAAGATGGAGAATAATTGCTAAAAACAGCAGTCATACATGGAACCATCATGGAAAATGCTTTTTTTCATATCATCTCGGAAGAGGATATTTATTTCTCCTTCACTTCGTAGCATGTCTACTTACATTGAACTGTGCAAACAGCATCTTGTTTTTTCTGAGAATCCTTCCACATTATATGAGAACTCAAGTCTGCAAAGAATAACTTCACAATCCTCCCTCTAAGATTGTCGGTACAAAAGCAATAAAATGGATATAATAAGGAGTCTCAAGGAATGCTACTGGATCCATGAGCCAACAAAAGCTATAGGCAATGATTTCGGGTTATTTCCATCAACCAATGATAGTTCATCTATTTCATTAAAAATATCCCAAGGTGAATGCTATGTTAAGGTTTCTCGCAGGTTATGCTTTACTAGTGCAGGTAAACAATTAAATGTTCCCTAAAGTTATAATTATATCATTAGTATAATGTTTTCTGTTCATGAGCTTCATTTTCCTCACCTGAAAAATGAGGTATCTACCTCCTAGGTAGGGAGACTCAAATGAGATTATATTTATATGTATGTGTCTACATATATATACATACACATACACATATATGTGTGTATGTATATATACATACATACACACACATATATATGAAATATGTTGCATACTATATGTGTATGTACATGTGCATATGTGCATTTGAGAGTAAGCCCCTTTCTGACTTCTATAAATTTACAGGAAAGCTATGGAGACTAAGATGCAAAGGCAGGTCCCCCTCTGCTTTTGCACCTTAAAGAGGATGGCCTCCTTTTCAGATGAGAATGGATCCTTCTCAGACTGAATTTGTACGTAGGTAAGATAAGCCTCTTTTGGACGTGAGTGGATCATCCTACTCTTTGTAAAGGATATCAGGGCTTTGAGTTATAGTACAAGCCTAAGCACATCACCCTGTACTCAATAAACTTAAATGGCTCCTCATTACCTCCAGGATCAAACAGAAAATCCTCTGTTTGGTGCTTAAAGGTCTCAATAGCCTTCCTGCCCCGATACCTTTGCAATCTTCTAGTATGTTATAACTCCTTTCCTTTCCCAGTCCCTAACATGTTCTCTGTGATCCAGTGACACTGGTCTCCTCAAAGTTCCTCAAATAAGACACTTAGTCTCTCTACTAAGTCTCTCTCCTCTCTGTGCATTTTCTCTGGCTCTCCCCTATTTTCTCTCTCGTCATCTCCCCCTTCTGGCTTCCTGCCTGCCTTCAAGTTCCATCTCAAATTCCATCTTCTACAAGAAGCTTTTCCCAATGCATCTTAATTCTAGAGCTTTTCCTCTATTGATTTCCTCCAACTTATTCTGCATACATATCTTGTATGTACCTAGTTGTTTGCATGTTGTTTCCCCCACAGACTATCAGCTTCTGGAGAGTCTTTTTCCTTTCTTTGTATCCCTCGCTCTTACCAGAGTGCCTGATACTTGGTAAAGGCTTAATCAGTTTTTCTTAACTAACCAACTGATTCACCAGATAGCTCATTGACATATGAAAAGACCAGCAGAGACAAGGAACTTGTCTTCAGGTCATAGATTGCTCCAGCCAGTTAGTCAATTAGCATTTTATTAAGCACCTACTATGTGCCAGGCACTGTGCTTATGCCCTGGAGACACAAAATGAGGCAAAAGATAGTTCTTGCCCTCAAGGAGCTCACAGTCTGATGGGGGAGACAACAAGGTAAGAAATAGGTAAAAACAAGCTATATATAGGATAAATAGGAAAGTTAAGAGAGGAAAGACACCAGAATTAAGAGGAGTTGGGAAAAACTTCCTCTAGAAGGTGGAATTTTAGTTGGGACTTGAAAGAAGCCAAGGGAAGGCCGGAGGCAGAGATGAGGAGGGAGACCATTCCAAGTATGGGGCAGGCAGAGAATATGGCCAGGGCTGAGAGATGAAGTGTTTTATTTATAGAACAGCAAGGAGGCTAGTATCACTGAATCAAAGAGTATGGGAAGACAGTAAGGTGTAAAAAGATTGGAAAGGTAGGGAGGGACTAGGGTCATGAAAGGCTTTGAATACCAAACAGATTTTGTACTGGATCCTGAAGGTGATAGGGAGCCACTGGAATTTACTGAGTAGGGACATGACATGGTTGGACCTGGGCTTTAGGAAAATAACCAGCAGCTGAATGAAAAATGGATTGGAGTGGGGAGACTTGGCTATTGTAACAGCTCCAGTGGGAGATGATGAAGGCCTACCAAAGTGGAGGCAGTATCAGAAGACAGAAGGAGGTATATGTGAGAGATGGTGCAAAGGTAAAATCAACAGGCCTTGAGCAAAAGATTGGAAATGAGGGGTGAGAGACAGTGAGGGGTTGAGGATGACACAAAGTTGGGAGCTTTGGGGACTGGGAGGATGGTGATGCCTTCAACAAGTAATAGGTAAGTTTGTGATGGGGAAGGGTTTAGAGGGAAAGATAATGAGTTCAATTTTGGACATGTTGAGTTTAAGAAAGACAGCTGGAGATGTGATCTGAGAGGTAGATTTAAGCCGTTTGTTTGCATACAACTGGAGAACCTTAAAATTAAAAACAACAATTTGGAAATAAAGAATCCCAGAGTTATTTGGTTATTATTGGGCCATTGCCTAGTCATTGCCTAGCTTTCAGAGGTAAAGATTTGGGAAAAAGCATTGGTTAGTCAATAGAGATTAGGGTGATGTCACTTACCAGGGGGATCCAGCTTTGTTCCAGGAAGTTATCAAATGGAAAAGCTAAACTTCTACTCTCCTCCTTCCTTCTGAGAAGATCCAAGCCTCAGAGCCATTGAGAGGCTTCTGGTTGTCTTAGCTAGAGTTCTCTGCCCTTTCTGAAAGAATAAAGCAATACCCAAGTCAAAGACTATAGCTAAGCATAAAGCTGAAAGTGATGGAACCCATAGCTTCCCATTGAGAGATAAGCCCAGGGAGTCCAGCAGTGTAACTTGTCTAGCAGAGATGCTCATCAATGAACTTTAAGAGGAATTGACAAAGAGAAAAAGGATAGCAAAGCCCTATAGTTTTAGAGTTTGAGTTAGCTTGGACACATGTATCCTCTCTATACATGTATCACTACCACTGTATTTTAAGTTTGTGCTCACTCTCCCCATGGATATGGTATGTATTTGTAGTAGAATATTCTCCAGAGTATATGTTTTTTCTTTTAATTTATTTTATTTTTGATTTGTGGAATAAAATAAGCATTTCCATAACATAGTACAATAAAAAAGATGATTGCACATGAAACTGCAAATCTACTAAGCACAATTTGCTATTCCTTTAAATTTTACAACAAAATTATCATGTAAACTTTTTTTCTTCTTCTCTCCCCTCCTCCAACCCTAGAGATGTTTTATGGGGTGGATGTTTTATACTATTGTTCCTGCTATGCCATTTGAATAGATAACTTCGCTAAGATCTAATTAATTCTATTGGCTAATTGTTAATAGGAAGCATACCAGTGGAGGCTCTTAAGCTATAGTTTTATAAGAGTGGTACCACAGGGTACATACATACCTGAACCCTTCATCACCTATCTACAACTCAGTTGGTGAATGTGGGTGCAAGTTAGAGGAGTACCCCAGAGTGGGTAGTAGATGTATATTTGCTTCTGACCCGTGTTTTCATTGGTTCAGGGAACTTTTGGTGTGTAAACTCCTTCACAACCAACGAGATTGGCAGCTTATTTGTAACTTAGAGTTTTAGAGAGTTGCTTGAGTCACAGTGAGGTTAAGTGATTTGTCCTGCTTCACACAGCTAGTATTTGCTTTTTTTTTTTGTAAGGGCAATTGGGGTTAAGGGACTTGCCCAGAGTCACACAGCTAGTGAGTATTATGTGTCTACGGCTGGATATAAACTCAAGTGCTCTATCCACTGTGCCACCTAGCTGCTCTAGTATTTGCCTTTTAAGAGATGAGAGAATCAAGGGCATCTTTTAGAATCCAGAGTCTTTTCTGTGGAGTCCGGGGGTTTTCCCTACAAAAGTAGGCAAGTGCTGAATGCAGTTCTTCCTGACTTCAAGGAAGGCTGCCCTTCGCAACATCATGCTATGTTATATCTCAAAGTACTATGTCATTGAGAGTTAATATTATTAGGTGCCCTTTTAAAAAGAAAAAAGGGCTTTACCAACAATTTGTTCTTCCTCCATATTTTGGCCTACATAATATCCTGCAAATGAATCTCAACACAAGTTATGACTTTTCTTTTTCAATTTGTTCAGTAATGTAAAATTAGTCAAGCAATAACCAAATAAAAATAAGAACCCTGATAAGTAAATAAAATGGCATGTTGTTGCAATGAAATTAATAAAATTTGAGGGTCAAGAACCCTTAGCAGGAAGGAAACTGTGACATTGGCAGGGCTTCTAGAAGTCTGAGAACCATAACACTGAAGAAGACAATAAGAAACCATCTAGTCTATTCCCCTGCCCTCAGACAGTTCCTCTGACAAATCAAATCATTTCAGACAGATTAGATTCTTACCATGTCAGAATATAAACTAGGTGATAGCGGCATAAAAGGACAAGAGGAATTGTGAATTGTGTCAATCACAAGTCCACAAGAGCTTTCCCCTAATTTTTTTTTAAAGCTAAATATAGTTGTAATCCATGTTACTTGTTAAGTTACATTTTTTTTGCTTTTTTTTTTGTTTTTTAATTAGGCAAAAGTATTGTATTTGCATATGCCATGCAAGCAGATTCTAGGACCTGAAATAGACTGAATAAATCAGCTGAATCAGAAAGATGCTAAACTTAAATGATTCTGGTCCATTTGGAATTCCAGAAATGTGGTGGTTCAGTTCCTTATGTCCACCTAATAAATGAGTCCTGCGAATGCCTTGATTTCATTTTTCAGGCTTCTTTTTAAATTATTTTACCTTTTCCATGTGGTTTCTAGCACCCATTTTCCCCATCAGCTATGTGGAAACTCAGCTAAAGCTATTGCCTTTGAGCTATGTCTTTCTATAGTCATTTGCAGGAGTCACACACACAAAAAGAGCTTACCAGGATGAACTAATGCTTTCCAAAAACTCCACAGTCTACACAGAGAAATCATTTTTTAAAAATCTTATCTTCTGAAAAGATAGAGGAAAATATTAGCAATTGAAACGTATTCAAGGAGTATTCAGCCCTGAAGCAGGTTACCAATGGAGATTGTAGAAAATATTTTACTTGCACCAGAAGAGTAAAAATGGAACAATCCCAACTGACTGGACATGGTTTAGGCATAAACCTGCTTTGAGGGAGAAGAATGGACTTTGGGAAGTTCCTTTTGATTCTGTGATACTATGATTTTCAATTATATTTTCCACTTTCAAAGACTTGAGATTTCTGATCAACATTCCAGGGGACCATTGATAAAGTACACCATCTACTTTTTCTTTTTTTTCCTACAAAGTGATTATTTTAATTCAAATAAAAAATCATTTATTAAGAGCTTGGTATGAGCAAGGTACTGTTTCCTAAAGGAAATATAGACAGAAAGAAACATAGTCACTGCTCTCATGCAGCTCACACTCCACTGGGGGTGGGGAACACATAATATTTACACAGAGAAGATGTAATATAATATATTATATTACATATAATTTATAAATATATTTATAATATATAAATATATATGTATAATATAAATATAAATACTATATAAAATAATATAATTTGAGGAGGGTAAGATCACTGACATCAATTGGGATCAGGAAACACCATCTCCATGAACTGGTATCTAAATTGAGCCTTGAAGAAAATTAAAGATTCCAAAAGGTAGAGGTGCGGAGAGAATGCATTCCAGGTATGGGAAATAGACTGTGCAAAGAATGCATGGAATGGGAGGTGGGAGGTCAGTTTAGCTGGAATATAGAATACATGAAGGAGAACTACTCAGCTTACATCTCACTCTTCATAGGAGACCTTTCCTGGTCTCCTTTCCTTCCTATCACCACCATCACTGCCTGGGCCTTCTCTAGGAGACTACCTTCCCTTTATACTATATATATCTTCTAGGTCAGAAAGAAGCACAGACAAGCAGAGCAGCTTTGAAAATTACAGGTTGAACTTACATTTTTTTTAAAAGCAAGCTATACCTAATTGAGACACATAATTCTATGTACCATGCTGTCTTTGTGTTCTGTTATGTACATGGAAAAGCTTGTTTTATTTGGTGTTTGTTAAATTCAGAATAAATAAGTAAATAATAAAATAGGTTGTTCCTTTGACCCTTCTTTCATCATTCTTCAAAACAGTGACATAGCAACTTTGTGAGATCACAAATGTCTGACTTGAAACCTCCATTTATTTTTACCAAAATAAGTCAAGCATTCCAGGCTGGATGCACACATTTGCTGTATACAGGATTGTATCCAACTAACCACAAGAAATCCCTGGATCAAGGGACCAGCTTTTGGCAAGACTGTGAAGGAGGTGAAATTGTGATCAGTACCTCCCCCACCTAGTTCTCTTCTCTTTCTTTTTTCCCTCCGAGATGCTCCTTCTCTGTGCCTTCCTCAGGTGCTTTCTTCTTCTACTAAAATCTGCTCAAAGGCAAGGTTCTTTCGATCATTTCCTTGAGTGTGATTCAATTCTCATCTTTAATCAAAAGAATTGTATATCAAGGAGCAGGTAGGAGAGGTACATTGGTATTTGGTTGAGACTCAAGGTTCAGAGTCAGATATGTGTTTTTTGGACTTGACCAATAAGGGAATTTTTTTCCTTGCTTATGCATATTTGTGACAAGATTCCCCTCCTCACTTCCATGGTGAGATGAAGTGAAAATTGATTTTTTGTTAATTTTTTTAAAAAGTATACTTGGTTGGAAGTGGGGCAGAAATTTTTTCCAGCTTCTGAAGTCACAGGTAAGGTAGCCATGTAGTTGTGTTATAGTTAATAGAATCTTGGAGTTGGAAGAGAACTTAGAGGTCCCTTAACTGGCCCTGACAAGATCATTTGTGCAAAAAAAAAAAAAGTTAAACTCAATCCTAAGGTATATTACTGAACTTACTCAATATTTACTAAGCATCTGCTTCATACAAGGTGTTGTATTAAAGGCACTGGGGACAAAAATACAAAAACAATACAGATGCTGCCCTCATGAGCCAAGGAGAGTTTGTATTTTATGCTACAGGAAATAGGAAGCCACTGAAAAGTTTTTCAACAGGATTATGACATAATCTGACCAGTTTTTTAGGAACTGTAATTTGGCAGCTATGTGGAGGATAGACTGGACAAGGAAGAAGCTGGAAGGAGTGAGATCAATTAGGAGCCTATTCCAATAGCCTAGGCAAGAAAGTGGTGAGCACCTGAACCAGGGTAGTGGCCATGAAAGTGAAAAGAAGGGGATAAATGTTAGAGATGTTGTCAACAGATCATGTCACCGAGCATTTATTAAGTGGCTACTATGTATTAGGCACTGCTAAGGGATACAAAGAAAGGCAAAAACAGTACCTGCTTCCAAGGGGCTCATGTTGTGGAAGTAGAATCCATAATACTTGGTGAAGGAAGAGTCAAGGCTGTGAAATTGTGAACTTGGTTAACTAGGAGGACAGTGGTGCCTTCAATAAAAGCATAGAAATTTGGGAGTAGGAGGTAGGAAGGAAACAAAAGGGGAAGATAATAAGTTCTGTTGCAGACAAGCTGAGTTTGAGCTGCTTACAAAATATGCAGGAGGAAATGTCCACCAGGCAGCTGATGATATAGGGAGCTCTGGATGAGGAACTACCTCTATCAATATAGATGAGTACATTTTCTGTAGTTTATAGATCTGGAGAGTTGACTGGGTCACTGAGAGATGAGTGACTGGTCCAGGGTCACACAGTCAAGTCTATGTCAGAGGCAAGATTTGATCCCAAGTCTTCCTGACTCTAAGGCCAGCTTTCTATCGATTATTATATACTGCCTCTTATATTATATGCTGCCTTCTCAGGGAGAATAGAGAACAAACATAGCAATAACAAATCCCAGGCACTAGTATTCTATGGTGGGAGGGATGATGACCCTAGCCTAGGGAAGAGGGAAGACTCAGGGCCCGAAGAGCCAGCATGCACTCAATTGCAATTTCACCTCCTTCTTTCTTTTTCCCCCCCGCAGGTGCTGGCGATGCCATGTTGTTATTTGTTGTTCAGTAATTTCAGTTGTGTCCGACTCTTCATGACCCCATTTGGGGTTTTCTTGGCAAAGATATGGGAGTAGTTTGCCATTTCTTTCTCCAGCTCATTTTGCAGATAAGGAAACTGAGGCAAACAGATTAAGTGACTTGCCCAGAATCCCACAGCTAGTAAGTGTCTGAGGCTGGATTTGAACTCATGGAGATGTGTCTTCCTGACTCAAGGCCTGGCACTCTGTCCCCTGTACTACCTAGCTGCCCCTGAGGTATGAGAGATAACATGCTTCATAGCAATATTCTTAGGATCATGGGAACATAAATTTAGATTTAGAGCTAAGGGTGGTCTTGTGGAGATCAATTAATCTGACCACCTCATTTTATAAATGAGAAAACTGAGGCTTTAAGATGCTGCCCAAGGACACAGGAGTAATAAGAGGACACAGGCAGGATTTGAACCCAGGTCATTTGATTGTGAATCCAACACTCTTTTCCCTGTAACACAATTCCTTGCTACACAGGGTAAGACTGTGGCCTACAATCAGCTCAGTGAATTACTTTCAGATTTTAATGCTCCCATTCCGTTACTGTGGAAAATTGAGAGCTGACTGTATTGCAATTAGGAGCTGTGTGAAAAGATGTAAAGATGTGTGGGCGTCTTACACCTGCCCTGGAAATTACTCACTGCACTCACTACAGAGAAAATCTCAAGAGTAACTCTAAAATACACACATTGTTCTAGGAATGCAAGTTTCTCCATACAGGAAACACCTCAAAGCGCATCTTCAAGCAGTGTTATCCTGAGGCAAGGACTGAATCAAGCAAAGGGGGAAAAGACATTGTTACTGTCACAGAATCCAGGGTATTGTTTTTTCTCCTTGACCTCGCAGCAAGTTTGAGGTTATTCACATCTCTGTATGGCATATACTCATAACCAAACTGGGGACCCTGATCACTGTTCAATTCAATTCAGTAAACATTTATTAATCACCTACTATGTGCCGAGCACTGTGGTAAGCACTGCGGATACAAATAAGAAAAAAAAAGTCTCTGCCTTCAGGGAGTTTACAATCTAATGAGGGACAGAATATAAAAGGAAGATGAAAAAGGGGTGGGAGGGAAAGAAAGTTGTAAAAGTTTAGAGCCCTCTGTTGTTTTTTTGTTTGTCCTTCATTTTCAAAGACCAATGATATCACAGGGTGATGTCTTGACTCGTGGGTGAATTAGATTTAAGGGAGTCAGAGTTGCACAAAGTCATCAGCCTCTCACTTCCAGAGCCATTGAAGTCCAATGGCAAGACAAAAGTCAGGACAACCGGCAATGGCCATGGATGCAGTGGGAGACCTTGGTGTCGTTGATGTCTGATCAAGCTCTAAGCACTCCACAGCTGCCTTCATGGCTGTTGGAACGAATTGTTCTTATCTGTCCATTAGGCTGGGGGAAAGTCTTCACATGCTCAGGGTAGACACCCCGCCCCCTCAAGTCACTGACAGGTCTGAGGCCTGTTGGTTTCCTTCAACCTGGTTTAGTCCAACTACCAAGATGGTTTACCAGGGCATGGTCACTACATATGCTTTAGCTTCTTGGAGTCATAGGTCAGAGTTGGGTAACACATGGACACCAGAGGTGGAAGAGCAGCCCTCCCACCTGGGGATGGAAGGGAGGGGGTACAGCCCTCTACAGAAAGGCTTTTTACAGGAGTTTACTGTTCCAGCCTCGAGCTGGAGGGGAGAGGCAACTGAGGAAGTTGGCAAGGTGTTGAGTGTCAAAACTGAGTCAATCAGCATGATAAGACTTCTGGTGATCAGCTTATCCTAGGTGGGGGAGTGTTGGGGGAGAGGGGGAAGACTATTTTCCTTGGAGTTGATGATGAAGAAAGAGAGAGAGGTAATTATCCAGAATAGTTACCTGGAGCTCCATAGTCCTTTGAATAATCAGCAGCAGCAGTATCTTAGCTCCTAACAATATAGCACTTAACAATTTCAGTGCACTTTTATATCCAGTCCTTCATTTGATACTCAAAACAAATCTGTGAGAAAGATAGAGAAAGCATTATGAACTCCATTTTATGGGTGGGGAAACTCAGTCTCAAAGAGGTTGTGATTTGCTCAAAGTCACAGCTAGGAACTGGTGAAGGGAGGGTACAAGCTAAGCTTTCTGTCTCAAAGTCCAGTGAGGACAAGTAAAACTCAGTAGGAAATTGGTCTGAAATGAACCATGAACCAAATACTGTCCTGAAACACACTAATTTGCTAAACCTTGATCTAAACCGAATCAAATTATTAACTCATTTCCCAGATTATTAACTAAGACCGAATAACCATCCCTCCTCCTCCAACAGAATTCAATAAATAAGTTATCGTCAGAATGATTCTTAGATATTTTCTAAAATTATTGAACAGAATTATTTCATCAGAAACTGTGGCATTCCTTAACATGTAGCCATATAACATGGCTAGAAAGATGTTGATGTTTAAAGAAGGGCCTTTGTGTCAGAGAGAAGCTTAAGGTCATGAAAAGAACTGTATAATTTGTCAAAGGTAATCTGATCTAGTCTCCTCCTATTCAATTCTGCATTGTTTATCCAGGATACACACACACACACACACACACACACACACACACACACACACACACACTCTCACATACATACTGATGAATCTGTTCTATGGGTCAGTCATCTACCTGTATATCATAGCCAGAACCATAAGCATCCTTCATCCATTTGTTTTTTCCTGTGTGGATGGAAAAGTCAGACTCTTTTGAGTGATTATAAATCTCATTTAGGCAGCCCTGAAATGCCTCAGAGCTTGTTCCAATGGGCACAAGGTTATCCACAAATAGGAACATCTGGAGGTGTCACCCCACTCAGGGAATTCCTCTTTGATTCAGACTTTCCACATAGTCTTTGAAGAATTAAAGTTGCAGGTCACCAAGAGAGCAATGGAGAGGGATGTGGTAGGTGTAAATAGGCTACAACCTCACTGGTGAAGAATTGTGCAGCAGAAGCAGCATCAAGGATATCAGAGGGAAGTCTGGTCACTAGGTGACGGATTCTTTAGCCACGGCAAGCTATCAACGACAACAAAATGTCCCTTAGTCCAGTGCTGCCAGCCCCTTTCTACTTCTGTAGTGATAATGGTAGACAATGGCAGAAAACAAGGTATAGGAACAAAGAACTGTGCAATTTTAAAATCATCATTTATTTATAAGTTATTTAAACAATAACTTTCAGTACATTAAATCTGCAGTCTTCTCTACTGAATCACTGTTATTGGAAAAACTGAATTATATCAATATTGATATTCTTAAATAAATGAAACCAGAAGATAAAAGCTAGTTGCAGCTAAATGTAAGGATGACTCACAGGTTTCTCTCTCTCTCTCTCTCTCTCTCTCTCTCTCTCTCTCTCTCTCTCTCTGTCTTTTTCTCTCTGTCTCTCTCTGTCTCTCTGTCTCTGTCTGTCTGTCTCTCTTTCTGTATGTGTCTGTCTGTCTGTCTCTCTCTCCATCCATCCATTTTTAAATTCTGAGTTCCAAAATCTCACTCTCCCTCCAGCCCCTATCCCATGCATTGAGAAGGCAAGCAATATGATACCCCTTATACATGTGAAGTCATGCAAAATATATTTCCACATTAGCCATATTGCAAAAAAAAAAAAAGAAAGTGAAAAAAGTATGCTTCAACCTGTACTCAGAGTTCATCAGTTCTTTCTCTGGAGGTGAATTGCATTCTTTATCATAAGTTCACAGGCTCTTTTTGGAGAGACCCAGCTAAGTTGTCATACTTGCTTAGCTGGGCACCCAAATATGAGAAGAAACATCGTTTTACGAGACATCTGGCCATTTCCTGTTATAGAGCTTATGATGAGCATAAGTAAAAAGATGGCTTCAAGCAAAGCACCAATATCTGTTATTAGGGATGAGGAAGTAAAGACATCCTGTGAGGAACTTAACAAAACCATCCAAGTCAAATCGCTATATATTTTGATACCTTACTCCAACCAGAAGAAGGGTACAGATGAGGTTGGAGGAAAGTATGTTAGGAAATAGAGTTCAGGTAAAAGAAAAAAGAAAGTCCAAATACTTATAGACTCCTCAGAAGCCACATATAGATATTATGAAAACTTTTTAAAAAGGAACATCAGAAAACATTGAACATGGCAAGCAGTGAACCACATTATAAAAAAAATGGAAGTGACTATTTTGTAACAGACAGGAAATGATTGGTTTCTGATGTGGCAGCCATTTCAGAAACAGTCATTTCAGAATAGTGCAGTCAGATTATAGACTAGTTGAGAGCAAAGACATAAAAAAAAATAAGAATAAAGAAGCCAGCATCAAAGTAGAAGTGGTAAAGAAGAGAAGATACTGTATACAATTGTAGTACCTTCAACCTGACCAGTTCAAACTGTCAATGCTGAAAAATGGGAAATACAAAAAGGCAAAGATATTGACATTGAATACCACCTGGGAAGTTTATCTAACACAAAGCAGATGCCATGAAAGGACAGTAAAGACCAGAAAGTGACTTTTGCAAACCCTAGTTCTACTTGCCAAGTGGAGAAATGGTAGCTGAGGGCAATACTAGTTTAGAGTATAAAATTTTATATAAAATATTATGGAGATGGTTGACAGGAGATTGTAGAAGAACCATATCATCAAACAGTAAAAATTAAAGGAGGCAAAAATATTTTGTAAAATGCCTTGACATGATACCTTATTATGATGAACCATCCCAAGAGCATTCATAGATGAAACTGAGAGGAATAGATGGAAAATGGATCCAATTCGTTTATACTTCTGTATTGGTCTATTTTCAGCATAAATGATAAGGCAACCACTGGATTTGGACCCTCACACTTCAATTTCTCATATAGTGTATCAAGGGGCAGCTAGATGGCACAGAGGATAGAGGGCCAGGCCTAGATTTTAAGAAGATCTGAGTTCAAATCCAGCCTCAAACACTTACTGTGTTGTTTACCTTAGTTTTATCATCTGTAAAATGCTGGAGAGCTAGAGAAGAAAATGGCCAACCACTCCAGTATCTTTGCCACAAAAACCCCAAATAGGGTCACGAAAAGTTGGACACAACTGAAAATGACTGAACAGCAAAAACTGTATCAAATTGAAATGGAACTTAGGAAGAGGTAGTCAAAAAGAATAGCTGGAGCCGACTGATTATGTGGAGGAGGAAATTCATGTAAAACCGAACAATAATCTCAAAAACTTTGAGGAAACAAATAATTTCCTTATATATCAGGGAGGGGCGCTTTGTGGAAAATTTTAGTACTGCAAAAAGGCAAAGCAGAGTATATCAATACCAAACCATATACTTTCTTTATGAAATCTTTATAAGAATGATCAAAACATGTATCAAATATATCCTTGATGACAATATGAGAAGGGAAGAGGTAGGGTTTCGAAAATGATTTTCTACATGCAGAACACATGTTTACAGCTGCAAAATTAATGGAAAACTAACGAGAATACAAGCCCCCATTGTGTTTCTTACTTGTTGACCACCAAAGAAATTTGATTCAGCAGAGCAAAATGCAATCTCAAAAGGCTGCTTCCACCAAGAAATCTTTCATGCATATGTTAAGATTATAGCACATTTTTTGAAATAGATGATTACTTAGTTAATGACCCTCAGTTTATTAACTTCAGTGGAAGAGATACATGTTCTCCAAAGGAATGCACCACTATTATGGAGGATGTCTTGTGCAGGAAGGGCCCCACTGGAAAAGAGATTCCCTGTAGATGATGAGATGCTCTAAATGCTACTGATTTTGAGTAGTCATGTGATAGCATCAAGCTCCAGAGCACTACAGACACATTGCAGAAGAGATCAGCCTTACAACCCATTCAGCAAAGACCAAAAGTGGTGAAAAATGCCTGTTGTTCAGAATATGTTCAGTTAGTGAATCCACTCAGTATAATATATTCCTACATGTGTGTGTGTGTTACTGTAGATGTATAATAGGCTTGAATAGAAGGAAGAGAGAGGGAGGATTATATTTGGGAAATTACCTTAACGCTTTGTAAAATCCTTAGATGGGAGCATCTTACACAAACCTATCTTTTCAAGATCAATATTGAATCTACTGATGATAATGGGATTAAGAATCCTGGAACCCTATTGTATCTTTCCTTTCCTTTCTCTTCCTTTTTTTTCCTCTTCTCTTTTTATTTTCCTTTCCTTTTGCCATTTCTTTCTCTAGCTCATTGTACAGATAAGGAAACTGAGACAAACAGGGTTAAGTGACTTGCTCAGGGTCACACAGCTAGTAAGTGTCTGAGGCTGAATTTGAACTTACAAAGAGGAGTCTTCCTGATTCCAAGCCCAGTGCTCTATCCACTAGTTGCCCAAGTTCTACCTCTGACATATACTAGCTGTGTGACCTTAGGCAAATCATTTCACCTCTTAGTGCTCCAGGCCAGCAGTGTCAAATTCAAATAGAAATGGGGACCACTAAACCATATATAAGGATCTCTGTAAGCCACATCTTGACTTAGAAAACAACAGATTTTTGCATGTTTCTTTTTTTTAATTATTATTAACACGTCAACACATTGAACAGTTAGGAACTACATTTTAATCTGGTTCAGGCTGCACCGAGGAGCATCTCAGGCCATTTGTGACCTATGGGCCACCTGTTTAACTCTTTTGTTCTAGGTAACTCTCAATCACAAATTTCAGAAAGGTGCCAGCTTGATTAGTAGTGAGAGTTACCTCATCTGGAAGTTTCCTGTCCCAAAGAAATCACATGTCCAGTCCCTATCCCCTGCAGAATCTGATTAGCTTACTTCACTAATAAGAATGATAATAATAGCTAACATTTACATTTCACTTACCATGTTCCAGGCACTGTACTTGATCTTTATAACAGACCTCAGAAGTAGGTACAATTATTATCCCCATTTTACAGAGGAGGAAACTGAGGGGAAAAGAAGTCAATTGACTTACCCAGGGTCATACAGCTAGTAAGTTATCTGAGGCCAGATTTGAACTCAGTGCTTTCTGACTCCAGGCCTGGTGCTCTATCCACTGTGCCACCTAGCTTCCCCATTGGGGTACATAACTAGTTACAATCCAAATCCACAGCTCCAAATTCAGCTAGCCATCTTGAAAATGCCCTGCCTCTCATCCCCTGTCCCTGCCCCAATTTGAACAGGAGAGTCTGAATCCGTCTGTGGAAATCCATCCCTATAATTAGAGAAACAACTCAAACTATAGATCCTGCTGAGAGTGGCTCAGTGGCATCTTATATGGATACAAACCCCAGCATATTGCAGAAGAATCATCAGGCAAATTATGCAATTCCAAAAACATTTTATAAAGATTGAGATTTAAGTACAGGTTTTGACCTTATTTGGCCATATCATATTTGTCAATCAATCAACAAGAATTTGTAGAGTGGCTGCTATAAGCCAGGCATTGTGTGCTAGGCACTGAAGATGCACATGGATCAATCCAATTTGGTCACACCTAATGTGGATATAGGGCAGCTAGGTGGCACAGTAGATAGAGCACGAGGCCTGGAGTCAGGAAGATCTGAGTTCAAATCTGGCCTTAGACACTTACTAGCTGTGTGACTGTGGACAAATCACTTAATCTTATTTGCCTTAGTTTCCTCATCTGTAAAATAAGCTAGAGAAGGAAATAGCAAACCACTCCAGTATTTTGCCAAGAAAACCTCCAACGGGGTAATGAAGAGTTGGACACCACTGAACAATAACAATGTGGATAGAAGCCACCACTCTTTTCTGCTCCCTCTGCCAACAATAGCAAATAGGGATGGTCAGCCCCTCAACACCTCCTGAGTTATTTATTATTAAATGAAAAAAAATTGACTTGCTTAAAAAAGATAACTATGACTTGGACATGGCTAGGACAGAGCCCTCCTTCCTGCCCTTGGATAAAAGCAGATCCATTTCATCTTTCAGTCCCCTCGCTGCCTTTCTAGAACGCCACCTCTCTGCCACATTACTCTGAGGTCTAGAAAGGTTTCTGATAATTCTTTTCTAAAAACCCTGCTCTGGCAGCTATTTGTAGCCAGGTATGATTAGGGTCAAAGGAAGGAGGCAGAAAAGCCATTACATCTACTCAACTATGGGACCCAACGATTTGAAATGACCTCACTAGGCAACATTGCATGGAAGCTGGGTTTTTACTTAAAAATTTAAACAGTTGAACAGGAAAAGTCTACAAAAATATTTGTTAAAGAAAAATAAATCAAAACGATGGCGGGAGGTTTTTTCAGTGTCCTATTTTGTTTTAATGAAAGGTAGCCTGGTGCAGTGAGTCAGGATGACCTAGGTTTAGGTGCCACCTTTGACACATAGCAGCTGGACAACTCTGGGCACGCTACTTAACCCCTCTATTTTCTAGGCATACTCAGGAATACTCTTCCCTACTGACTCTACTTTTTAGTTTCTTTGGATTCCTTCAAGACTCATTTCAAATCCAGTCTTCTTCAGGAGGACTTTCCAGTCCCTTCTGCTGCCTTCTCTACCAAGATAGAGATAGAGATAGATGATATAGAGGTATAAATCTATAGCTATTTATCTCATCTCTATCATCTATCAGTTGTTTGTTCAGTCGTTTTTCAGTCAGGTCTGACTCTTTGTGACCCCATTTGGGGTTTTCTCAGCAAAGATACTGGAGTGGTTTGCCATTTCCTTCTCCAGCTCATTTGACAGAGGAGGAAGCTGAGGCAAACAGAATTAAGTGACTTGTCCAGGGTCACCCAACTAGAAAGTGCCTGAGGCCAAATTTGAACTCAAAGATCAGTCTTCCTGACCTGAGGCCTGGCACTCTATCCATTGTGCCACCTACTTGCCCATCTATCTATCTAACATATCCAGCTATCCATGCATCACTCTATAGATTCAGCTATTTACCTATTTGTCTATCTATCTTGCATGTATCTAAACATTTACATGTTGTCTCCTCCATTAGAAAGTGAGCTCCTTGAGGGTAGAGACTTTCTTGCCTTTCTTTGAACCCCAGTGCTTAGCAGGAATGCCTGGAACAAAGTATGTACTCAATAATTGCTCGTTAACTTTTTTTTTCTAAAATGTTCCTTTTCCCCCCCCTTTTTTTTAGGTAATTGGGGTTAAGTGACTTGCCCAGGGTCACACAGCTAAATAAGTGTCAAGTGTTTGGTCTGAGGCAGGATTTGAACTCAGGTCCTCCTGACTTCAGAGCCAGCGATCCATCCATTAACTTTCTAAGACTATAAATTACAGAGAAGGTATAATCTTATACTGGTTAGAGGAACTTCCTCACCAGGCACTCCTTATAACAAATGGAATCACAGGCCCAGCCCCTAGCTTTGATTTTATCTTAATGTATCTTCATTTTAAAAATTATAATCGGGGGCCTCAAATGTTGTAAGAGGCCCAGGTCTCATAAACAGGACCGCTAAGAGAGCCTGAGTTTGTGTAGCCCTCCAGCCTGGGACGGAGGGCTAGATTCTGGGATGTAGCCATCTCTAGCTACATATCCTCTAAACTACCCCTCCTGACATGTATAGCTAGGTTCCAAGCATTAAAAGGTTTTGAAGCACTTACCTCTAACCACTAGGATTCCTTGTAATGCTCTCTCAATAGGAATATATTTGATTGCTCTGTTCCTCCAAGAGATGAGTCAAATTAGACAGACTTTTAAAAAGTTACTTCAGGTTTGAAAACTGTCTGAGAGTTTTGCTTCACCCTTGGTGACAACAGGAAACACTTTGGGGTACCCCAAGACCAGTGTGGCAGGACTAATGGTTAAAAGTCCCCCTATTGCACTAGTAGTGTTAGGCTGTCTGGGAATGTGCTTTTTTGCCTTTATCTTTGTGAAATTTATCCCTTTCTTTTACCCTGAATCCTTAGCTAAGGAGATTGGTGCTCCAGTCTCTTCAAGTCCAATTTTGCAATGTATATTAAATAAATTATTGTAATGAAAAATATAATGTACTTTAAATAATTGTAATAAAAATTGTAACATATATTAAATAAATTACATTTTTGTTTCACTTCTTAATTTCTTTTTATTCTCCTTAATTATAGCTTAATATGTTCACTCTATTTTATTCTCAAGACTGCATTTAAGTCCTTGTTACCTTTATTCACAGTGAAATGAAAATGCATTTCTCTCTTCCCTTTGCAATTCAGAAAGATTTGTCATGACCTTTTATTTTTTTTAAACACGATATATCTACTCTGGCAATGATTCACCACTGCATTTGTGATTCTACTCTTCAGTACTTTTCCTGAATTGAACATTTTCTGTCTGGTGGGGAGGAGGGAGTGGAGGAGGTTTGTAATTTATGGAGCTTGCCTTCTCAAAGTTTGGTTGCTAGACTGTGAAAAATGAGTCATGAGGAGTAGTGGTAGAATTAGAACCCCAGCTCTTCCTCATACCCTTTAGCCTCCTTCCCCTCCTCCTCCCCGTTCCCTACTCTCAGATGATTTCACCTATTAGAAAGAGCCAAGCACCTGACACAGCTCTTCATTTGTTTATGAGTGCAGATTACATAATGTACCCTGAGAGAGAAAGAACATTTCTGAACCTACAGCATGCCTGACATATTTTGGGATTTCTCTGTTAGTCCTTTTTCCCTTTGTAGAATTTTTGCTAATTTTTATTTAGCTATTCTGAGTGGCAAGTCCTTATGCAGTGATGGTGTTATGGTCAGAGTTAAAAAGATAGAGACAGAGGATATTAATAAGCAACACTTTTATAAACTCTCCGAGACATTACTAAAATCACTCAATTATCTTCTTCCTTAGAAGTATTCTATAAAGACCCTTCCTTGGAGCTCGAGCCTTATAGATCAACCTCACTGAGCACAATTTAATACATTAGGTTTTTTAAACTTCTCAGTTCTTTCAAAAAAACAACATATATTTACTGTATCTGATACTTTGTCTCTAGTCATCCCCAAAGGGGAAAAAAAGTCAGGTTTTCTTGGGTACTTGGTTCTCTCTAAAGTACTCTGCTTTTTCCTAATGTTCTTTATAATGTCTATCTTTATGGCTTCTTCTGTCTGCTCTCCTTTCTTTCGTCTTCACCTTCCTTGATGCTATCTTTTCCCCGCCCCTACAGAAAATTCACTGAAATAAGGTAAAGTCTTTACTGCCAATAGGGTTATTTTTTTTTCCATCTCTTCTTTTTGGGAAATAGCCAGTTTGAGTTTAAAAATAGACTTGAGAAACGTCTGCAGCTTGGGATTCATTCAACCCACTAATATTTGCTTTGGAATAATAAGAGAGTTGATTTATCTGAACTAAAAATGATTCCCTTATTTGTCACCCTTTTTAAATTTCAGATCAAATCGTGTGCCACACCAGCTCTAAGCTGCAATAAAAGTGGATTTATATTCATCACCACCCCCACCCCTCTATTTTTGGTTCACACTTTAAAAAGTGAAGGTGACCATTTTGAAAAATGTGAGTACCATCATGCTCAAGATTACAGTTCACGGACCCCTCCCCCTACCCTCCAACTCAACAGCAAGATTTATTATAATACACGCCTACAGGTTATTTATTAATATCACTATCAGTTATCACAATCTTGCAAATGGATACTAGGGCAACAGAAAAGACTGAATGAATTTGTCCTATAAAGAGCGAACCTCTAGGGGAGAATGAGCCAGCCTCCATTCCCCAAAGCACGAGGTGGGCAGGTCATGTGATCACAGATCACAGTTGGAATGAACCTCCAAAGCCAAGTAATCCAACCCCCTCATTCTACAAATGAGGAAATTGGGGTTCACAGAGGTTAAGTGGCTTTCTCAAGGGTCATGTCATACAAGTAGGAGATTTTGTATGTTTAATGACAAATTTGTGTTGTTGATCTTAATATTTTGGAACCTTGGCATAACATTATTTTCAGGGTCTGTTTCAAGGAACTATTTTTTTCTCTTTTTCCTCTTATATCTGGATTTATTGTGAAATGAGGTGGTGCTATAGAAACTGAAGCCCAATCCAATCCTGTTCATGTGTCTGCTAGCTCATTCTATTTGTGCCTCCAAAAAGACCCATTATAGCCTCAACAAACTCATGGGAAGCAGGGGACTATTTTCTAATAAGGACATTTTGGTACCGAAGTAACTAACCCTCCCATTCATCCCTCAGCCTCAATAGTTTCCAACATGAGCCTGCCTTACAATAAGCTGCTCTAGGGTAAATACTATTGTAGTTAGACCACTGTCAATTCTGACTATTGTTTCTGTCATTGTTCAGTTGCGAACGACTCTCCATGACCCCATTTAGGATTTTCTTGGTGAAGATACTAGAGTGCCACCATTTCCTTCTCCAGCTCATTTTACTGATGAGGAAACTGAGGCACACAGGGTTAAGTGACTTGGCTGGGGTCATACAACTAGTAAGTGTCTGAGGCCAGATCGAACATAGGTTGATAAGTCTTCCTGAATACAGGCCTCATACTCTATCCACTGTGCTGCCTAGCTACTCCCAGCCTGTAGTCACACTTATTTAAATCCTACCTCTTCTTAACTAGACTATTATAATAGCTTCCTAACCAGTTCTCCTGACTATCCAGACTATCTCACTTCCATTCTGTCCTTTCACACTGTGGTGAAATCTTTCTGGCATTACTCTGAACTGGTCACTCTTCTACTTAAAGACCCTCCCTGGCCACTGCATTGCCTATTGAATTAAGTCCAGGAGGTGGAAGAAGACCCATTGAAAATGAATCCATCTGTGGCAGCTAGATGGTGCAGTGGATTGAGCACCAGCCTTGGAGTCAGGAGGACATGAGTTCAAATCTGGTCTCAGACACTTGACACTAGCTGTGTGACCCTGGGCAAGTCACTTAACCCCGACTGCCTCACCAAAAAATATATAAATAAATAATTTAAAAAGAAAATTAATCCATCTAAGACATTTTACAGTCAACAGAGGGAAAAGGTTTGATTGAGATTATATCTTTAAAAATCATGCTAAAATTTTCAAAATGAATTTATTTTACCTTATGCTTAACAAAATTTAGGCTTTAAACACAGGTATGTCATAATTCTTAGAACAAAGAATAAAGTATTGATTTTTTGGTGGAATTTTTCCATCAAAACTGTGTGATAGCAAGAGAAAACATTCTATAATTCATGTTTGATTTTCAAAGCATGATCATAAAGAGGGCAATTGTTGCAAAAATATTTGAAAGCTTTATCAATTTTCTTAAGGCCTATCTTAATCCTTTCATATTAAAACCATGTTCTTTTGAGCATTTATGATAACCATATGACAAAAAACAAAAGAACCTCATATAAGTCAGAGGCTGAGGGATGGGGGCAGAGAGATTGTTGTTATCTTGTGACTTGATATGAATCGAGGAAAACCTCAGAGGATTTGATTTCATTACATTCTTACCTTTATCCATAAGAAAGATGCATTTTAACACCATACTTCATTGTTAGAAACTTTCTTATCTAAGGCCAAAACTGCCACAATAGCAAATAATGATAATGCATTTTTAGGTTTGTGAGATCACTTAACAGTCATTATATGTTTGAGTCTCACAACAACTCTGTAAAGTACACTACAGGTGCTATTATTTCTAATTTTACAGAATAACTAAGGCTCCTGATTCCAAGTCCTGTATCATTAAGCACAAAGCCAGGAGATGTACTACACTAGGTAAGTTTCTTCCCATTATTTCTCTCAGTAGGTTATTCCCTCCTTGTTCTCAAGATTAAGGTGGGCTATAGTTCTCTGACCTTCTCAATCTACAGAAGGGTCTCACTTATCCCTTTTGGCATAAACCTTCAGAGAACACATTCAACTTAGGTGGTACCTCTCCCACTCTCAGGCAACCAGACAGTGTGAACATTTATTTTTGTTAGCTAATCTCAGACTTTGGACCACTGAGGGAAATGGTTATTAATAATCAATGATTTGGAGAGATTCAGAATTCCCCCTTTTTCTACAGTCTTCATTTCAAAGTTCAGTCTTTTAAAGGACATTATTGATAATGAAATTGAATTAACTCTCCTCAATCTTGGTCAGAGGCCACCCAATCTTATCCTCAGGTTTGGGTAGGGACAAATTCTTTGAATAGATTGCCCAAGGCTGGGTAACTTAGAAGTAAATGACATAACCAAAGTCCATTAAAACAGGTCCAGCCCTGAATTATAATATTTATTCCCTCGTTAATTGTTGACCAATCAGAGCTGATTGCCACCCTCAGGAACACCCCTCTTCCAAGGGCACATAAGCTATGAGCCCTACCACTATGATTGTCTTTGGCATTCAAGAGTGCCACTGACCTTTTATTAAACTGCTAGCGTTATTAATAAAATGACTAATTACCCAGAAATTATGTCTCTCGAATTTTTTAAACACCATGCCACCCTTGAGAGGCTAAGGCAGCACCATTCTCTGTAACTCCAGTCCCAAAGCCCATTGGCAAGGGACTCTCTCCTTATTGGTGGAAATCAGTGCCCTATGCTGGCATCAGATGTGGCAGGGGACAGGCGGAGTTGGTAAGAGTAGGAGAAAAGAGAGCTCTTCCAGTTTTTCTTCAGACCCTCTTTGAATTGTTGACTTTCTTCAGACTTTGGGCACTTCTGGCTTCCAGCTTCAAGAGAGAAGGTAGAAGATGCCAACTCCACTTCAGATTCTGGGAAGAGGCTGATGTGAGATGAGCTCTCATCTCCCAGAGGGAGAGAAAGTCTGGCTTCTTCTTCTCTCCATCTTACCAATTCTGCCCCATTCCAGATGCTGGCACAGAGCTCTGATCTCCATCAGTAAGGAGAGTCCCATACCAATGGGCTTTGGTACTGGGGTTACACCTCTTTTCCCCCAACCACAACCACCACCAACCCACCCAGTACTGTGTAAAAAATAACTACTTACAACATTCTCCATTCTCAAGCTGACTTTGTTAAAAATGAAGAAAAAAAGAAAAAGGCATTCCCAGAGGAATCACCAAAATAAGATGAGGCAGCTAGGTAGTACAGGATCTAGACCTGATTCCAAATCTGACTTCAGACTTTAGCTGTGTGACCTTGGGCAAGTCACTTAGTCTCTGTCTGCCTCAGTGCCCTCATTTGCAAAATAGGGATATTGATAGCATCTGCCTCCTAGGGTTAGCATGAGGATACACTGAAATCATATTTTTAAAACACTTTGCAAACCTTAGAGTGCTATGTAAATGCCAGCCATTATCGTTAAGAGTCTCTGGACATAAGGAGAGATTGAAGAAGTAATATCCATCTGACTCTGTGGTCAAACTATTAATGGAAAAATTAAATGGCTTATTTTGTGAGCTTTCTTCAGGGAAGGCAGTTTGGGAGTTGATCTATACTCCTGAATAGTGAGAGGCACAGGAAAGTGAGAAGCACAGGAAAGGGATTACGATGTAGAGAGAAGAGAATGCTTAGAGTAGCAGAGTCTGCAGAATTTTTCTCCACTCTGCAGACTAGCCCTGTCAGTACAGGGAGTGGAAGAACAGCCTGGTAGGGATGGGGAGGGAGTCCAGTTTATTTTAAGAGCTTTCCCCACTATTATACCATTTATAGGCTGGAATTCAGGTCCTGGTGGCAAATAGAATCTGTTTTGTGCACTGTTATCAGTTGTACAGGGAGTGAATTGTTGCAGGAGGAAGTCTGGTTGGAAGTTGGTCAGAATCATGCAAATGAGCTATTCTCCATGGCTGGAGTCAGTGAGGGGGGATGGAAAGATGTCCCAAGTCCAAGGTGACCCCCAGATGTCCTAAACTGACCAGGAAGGTATTCGTTTTTGCCTTCTGGACTCAGATGACTAAAGGCAGATCCTAGCCTTTTTTTTTTGTTTTTATTTTTGCCTCTTACACAGTGCCTAACCCATAACAGGTGCTTAATAAATGCTTGTCAAATGGAATGAATCCAGTTCTGAACTGGGTCTTCTGGATTCTCCTGGGAGTCACCAAACTGTGGAATGGATCCCTTCCTTCCACTCCTCCTTTTTTACCCTCTTCTCTTTCTTCTTTCCTCCCTTTTCATTAACCTTCCATCCATCCCTCTCTTGCCTTTTTATTCTTTCCCACTATCCTCTCTTTCATCTCCAATCCAACCCCACCCCCTCCCACCTCCCAACCCACAGTCATGGATTTGAAATATGATCACTTTAGCCAAACCCAGTGTTAGTTTTGGATCCAACTCTTGCTATATATCAACAAATCCTTTAGCCTGAAGTAGCCATGTACTGCCCCTTTGGAAGAAGAAATACTAATACTTAACTGTTCACCTAACTCTTCCTTGGGCCTTGTTGGGGGGGTGGAGGGAATCAGGGTACTTATATTGCTCTTGCTGGCTGACTGCCTGGGGAAATATGCTCCAATGTGCACTAGGGTGGCTAGGCAAAGGAAGAAATGGGAAGAAGAGTCTTTTTAAAGGTCAGAAGCAGACATATGATCAGAGGGATCAGACTTGGGCACAGGAAAGTCCCTCTGCCCTTCCTCCCCAGACTCCTGTTAGAGGAGTGGCGGTGGGGTAAGTTGGGGAAAGGTTGAGAAAGAAGACAGCTAGAAACCATTAGCAACAAAGCCACTGGCTTACATTAGACAGGGTAAAGGACCTTTGTTTGCAGAGATATTTTTAAAATCTTTCTCCCCTCAAAAATGTAATCATTCAAGCCATATTATCCATACCACTCACTTGATGATGTTTATTTACTGAAGCATATTTATCTTTTTAAGTCTGTTTTTTTTAATCTTCCCAAATAAGTTTTAAGCTTCTTGAGGGTAGGAACTGAATCTCAAACTTTGTATCCTTTTCCAGCCCATAGTGCTAAGGATAGTGCTAGGTCTCTAATAGCACAATCTCTGGCACATAGTAGGTCTTTAGTAAATGCTTGTTGATTGATTGCTCCTAGATGCTCAATAGATGTTTGTGTACTTATCGTAGTGCTTTGTATTTATGCTGTCCAATTCTGATGTTCCTCATTGCTTCTCAATAATCCTATTTCCCTTCGTTCTGCCCTCTGGGTCCAATTCTTCTTTCATAAGATGACTTTTCAAATACTTGAAGAGGGTTATCATATCCAATCTGTCTTTTTTTCTCCCTCCAGGCTGAACATCCCGATTTCATCCAACAGATTCTCCTATGGCCTAGTTTCTACTCCCCTCATCTTCCTGGTTGCCGTCTTGATTTGTTCAAGCTTCTCAGTGTTCTTCTAAAACATGGTTCTAAGAACTGAACCAAATACTCTAGAGGTGGTTTAACCAAGGCAGAATACAAGGATGGTGACTTACCTCTTCTCTCATTCCAGACTCTATGCTTCTGTTAATATGTGGAAAGATTGCATTAGTTGTCTAATATATGAGACTATTGAGCTTGTAGTCCTTTGAAAACTATGGGTTATTTTTTTCTCCCATGTAATCTATATTCTAGCCATGTTGCTCATATTCTGTACTTATATGTATAACTATATTTATTGAACCACACAGAGAACTTCATATTTTATCACTAGAGTAGCCCCATCCAGACTGGGTGGGCTTGAGGCACTTTCCTGAAGGACAGCTTCACGCTGCATGCAAATGTATGCAGAGCAGGATATTACTCCTGATTGGCTGAGGAAATGCTGAACCTGACACTACACACATGAAAGAGATTTCCACAATTGGTTCCAGAGACTGTTGAGAGAGATACATGAAGAAAAGAGTTCCAGGGAAGTGGTGAAGAGAGACAGATTTCTGAATGTCAGACTGGAGACTTCCAAGTTGAAGATATCTATGGCAGCTGGTTCTATCATGTTTCTGATCTTCAGGGCCTATAAGTCTAGAGTCTTCTTTTTAAAAAAATTTTTTTTAATTTTTAGGCAATTGAGGTTAAGTGACTTGCCCAGGGTCACACAGCTAGTAAATGTCAAGTGTTTGGTCTGAGGCCGGATTTGAACTCAAGTCCTTCTGTACTCTAGAGTCTTCTAAGAGAGGACCTTCCCTGGATGAGATCATTCTCTCTGTTCTAGTTTGAGCTAAACTCTGATCTTGCTCTAAGCTGAATACTTTGTTCATTCTTGTGTATTATAATACATAGAACTTCTTTAATTCCTAATGGTGTTTTGCTCAGACAAATGGGTTACTCAGTTTTCCTGTTTATGAAGGTCTTTTGTATAATTAACATTTGTGGAGGAGGTTCTAAGCTGGTGAGTATAAGCTAAGAACTACTCTTCCCTTGAAGAGCATTCAAGAGGGAGCTTTCCTTCTAAACCCAGGTTCATGAGCCACCCACAAATCACATTTATGTAATTAGAAAACCCGTGCACATATCTTAAACTACTATCGCCTTGGTGCATTCAACCTCCTTGTTCAGGCTTGTTAAGATTTTTTGTGGATCCAGATTTTAGCATCTAACATGCTAGTTATCCCTTGCAGTTTTGTGGCATTCACAAATTTGATAAATATGTCATTTGTGCTTTCATCTAAGCCATTGATAAAAATGTTGAGAACAGGGCCAAGGACAGAATTTGTGGCATTCTGCCAGAAACCTCCCTCCAAGCTGACATTGATCTATTAATTATTTTTATGGGGGTAATAATAACTACAGTACCTACCTCACAGGGTTATTACAAGGACCAGATGAGATAATGTTTGTACAGCAACAGACATTACATAGAACTTGCAAACCATAAAGTTTTATATAAATGTCAACTATTATTTTCACCACTCAATGGAAACACTATTCATAACATCAGATGGTTGGCTCATAGATTCAGAACTGGATGGGACCTAAGGGATCATCTACGCTAACCACCATCATTTTACAGACGAGAAAACTGAAGCTTGAAGAGGCTAAGTGACTTTTATCCAAGGTATATAGGATATAAATGACAGAACTGGGATTTTAACCCAGATCCCTTGACTCCAAACTCAGTATTCTTTCATCATATTGTCTCTTCATTCCTCTGGTTCTGATTTTATCTAACTATGCTTTCCAGCCCTCATCTCTCTAACTTGTTCAAAAAGATATTGTGATAGACTGATGACGTGTGCAGGTAGAACTAGAGTGTTTAGGGTTTTGCAAAATGTTGGCTATTTGCCCAAGAGAGAGAGAAATTTAATGCAGAGCAGGAAACGCAAATGGAGTCAATAGCAGTTATACTCCTCTAAGGAAGAAAGCAGAGGTAAAGACTGGTAGAGAGTAGGAGTCAATGAGAGTAGAGAATAGGAGAGGCCTCAATCAGTCCTCAGTCTCCATTTTCATTTCCACATGCCAAGTTCTATGCTAGGCTCCCTAAGGGAGAAAAGAAAAGATAGTACCTACATTCAGGGAGCTTACTCTGTTGTTAGGAAGACAGGTAGGTAGTGTTGTTCAGTAGAAAGAGCAATGAATTGGGACTCCAGGAGAATGGTCTCAAATCCTACCTCTGCCACTTACCTGTGTGCTTTTGGGGAAGTGACTTAATCTCTATTGGCCTCAATTTCCTCATCTGTAAAATGAGGGAGTTGGAGTAGATGACTTATGGAGGTACCAACTCAAGATCTATGATCCTAATGAAAAGAACATAAGTCTCATAGGATGGAAAAGCATGGATTTGTTGTTATCTGCATCAGTTCAGGGAAGAGCCATGTAATTACTTGGTTAAGTTTATAATAGGGAAAACATTTTTAAAGCCTTTTTTTTTTTTAGTGTACTTAGTATTCACAACAAACCTCAGCTGATTCTTGGCTTTAGCACTCCTGACATCATTCTTATAGGGCTTTCTTATTAATCTCTCTTTCCCCAATTTATGATATTGCAAGTGACAAATATTCTCATACTAATTTCATAGTTGAGACAAGCCCTGAAATAAGAGCCAGAAGAATGAATGCAACCTCTTTACCTAAACTGTATTCTTTCCTTTCTTGATTTCTGCTCTCCCACCCTAAGCAGGAACAACGATTGAGAGAAATAGAATTCTTTCCTCATCCTTCATTCATTAAAACTCATCATTACAAAATAAACTTGAGTCCAGACCATTAATGAGAAGAATTTCATCTACCTCCAATACAAGATACAGGGCAAAGAAAACCTATTTTCATCAGAGAACTGAGGATGAGATATAAATGTCAAGACTCTTCCCCCACCCCCAAGTGTAGCATCAATTGGGTTTTGAAATCTGCTAATCTGATGACAGCCCAGCCAGGTATTACTATTATTGGATAAGGTCACCCTTGCAGTGGAGAGTAACTGATTCTTGATGCTTAACAATAATGTCAGAAGTGACGAATATTTCTCAGGTGCCTGCTATGTTCCAGGTGCTTTGCTGGGGGCTGGAGTCAAAACTAAAAAACAGTTCCTGCCCTCAGGTAGTTTATGTTCTCCTAGAACTAGAGAATGAACAAAAAACATCATTTCGTGCTCTGGCTTTCCAAGGTGAAATCCTTCTTCATATCACTTACTAATTCATTATATCTGACACTTATATAGTGCCTTGCCTCGAGTTTTGCAAAAATGTTTTATATATTATTTGACCTTGAATTTAATTTACACAATTTAACATTTAGCTACAAAAAGTCTTTTATTTTTCTCTCATTTTACCATGTATATTCATCTTAGGGAAATAATGTGATTGAGCAAAATGAGCTCAGAACTTAGAGCAAGGAGATCAGAGTCTGAATACTACACCAAAGTTTAGGAGTATAGACTTCAGAGCCAGAAGGAGGGATCATCTGGTCTAATCCTCTCATGGATGAAGAGACTGAAGTTCAAAAAGGTTAATGGACTTACCCAAAGCAACTCTCTGAGATTCAATCTTCTCATCTGTAAAATGGGATAATAACATTTGTAGCAACTACTTCATATGTTGTTGTGCAGAAGGCTCTTTGGAAACTTTAAAGTGCTATATGCATATGAACGGTTGTTGTTGTTATCCCTAAAATAGGGATAAACTTACTATTTATTTGGCAGGGTAATTGGGAGTACAGGAGAAGGCACTTTGTACATTCTAAAGTGCTATATGAATGTAAACTACTCTGGACTCCTTAAGGAGAAGGACAAGATCTTATACATATTTGTATCTTATACATGTGGGTCAATATGTGCTCCATAAATGAGCAATTGATTGTTCTTTTTCACCTCCTACTCCAACCATGGCTCAAAAAGTGTTGGTGGCGTTGTAATTATTGTTATAATTATTGTTATTAAATTTGCATGTGAATATATTTGTTTTTAATAATTAATATTATTAGCTAGCATTTATATATCACTTTATGACTTGCAAAGATACTTTGGTTCAAAGAAGAAATAACATACATACTTAGGCATAAAAATCTATCTTACACTACAGGAAAGTAGGAGGCGAGGAGTATAAAAGAAAGGGGAGGGAGTAGGACTGATAGAAGGGAGGGCAAATTGGGGGAGGTGGTAGTCAGAAGCAAAATACATTTGAAGAGGGACTGGGTGGGAAGTAGGATGGAGGAATATACAGTTAACAATCATAACTGTGAAAAAATTTACATTAGGTTTGTCTGATACAAGCCTCATTTCTCAAATATATAGAGAACTGAGACAAATTTATTAAAAAAAAAAAAAGAAAAAGAGCCATTCCCCAATTGAGAAGTGGTCAAAGGATATGAATAGGCAGTTTTCAGATGAAGTAATCAAAGGTGTCTATGGGCATACAAAAATGCTCTATGTCACTATTGATTGGAGACACGCAAATTAAAACAATTCTGAGGTACCACCTCACACCTATCAGATTGGCTAATATGACAGAAAAGGAAGATGACAAATGTTGGAGGAGATGTGGGAAAACTGAGGCACTAATACACTGTTGGTGGAGTTGTGAACTGATTCAACCATTTTGTAGAGCAATTTGGAACTATGCCCAAAGGGCTATAAAACGATAAAAACAAAAACTATAAAACTATAAAACCAAAAAAGGGTATGACCTTTGATCCCGTTAAACCACTACTAGATCTGTATCTCAAAGAGATTAAAAAAAAAAAAGGAAAAGGACCTAGATGTACAAAAATATTTATAGCAGCTCTTTTCTGGTGGCAAAGAATTGGAAATTGAGGGGATGCCCATAAATTGAGGTATTGTTGACAAGTTATGGTATGTGATTGTGATGTAATACTATTGTGCTATAAGAAATGATGAGCAGGATGGTTTCAGAAAAACTTGGAAAGACTTGCATGAACTGATGCCAAGCGAACTGAGCAGAACCAGAAGAACACTGTACACAGTAACAGCAATAATGTAAAGACAATCAACTATAAATGATTTAGCTATTCTCAGCAATACAATGATCCAAGACAACTCTGAAGGACTTATGATGAAAAATGCTCTCCATCCCCAGAGAGAGAGAACTGATGGAGTCTGAATGCAGATTGTAGCATACTTTTTAACTTTATTTTTCTTTACTTTTTTTTGGTTTGTGTTTTCTTTCACAATGTAACTAATATGGAAATGTTTTGCATGACTGTATATGTATAACCTATATCAAATTGCTTGCTTCCTCAATGAGGGGGGAGGGAAGGGAGGGAGAGAATTTGTAACTCAAAATTTTAAAAAATGAATGTTTAAAATTGGTTTTACATATAACTGTGGAAAAATAAAATACTAAATAAAAATTTTTAAAAGCTTGCAAAGATAACATATATCATTAAATAGGCAAGTGCTATTATTATTTTTACAGATGAGGCTGAGAGGTTAAGTGACTTGCCCAGAGTCACCCAGCTACTAGTGTCTGTGTCAGGATTTGAACACAGATTTTCCTGACCCCAAGTCCAGGGGACTATGCACTGTACTACCAAGTTGCCTTTAATACCTACCTGTAAGGCATTGAGCATTCCACCTAAAGGCTTTGCCTCTTTCAATTAGTATGAGAATGTGTGTCACCAGAAGTTTGACAAACTGGGGAAAGAAGGATTAATAAGAAAGTCTTATAAGAATGATGTCAGGAGGGGCAAAGCCAAACTGAAGCTTAGGGTGAATGCTAAAAACATATAACACAGAGACTTAAAAATGATTTTAAATTATGAACTTAATAACCAACAAACAACACCAAATAACTAAATGATTATTCCTTGCACCAACGTAGAGAACAACCCTATCCATGCTTCTCCATACTATGAGACTCTTGTTCCTTTCATAGGATTATAGATGTCATTAGATAGAACTTGTAGCTCCAGAAAAGTTTCCTAGCTAGATATACCAGCTAAGAAGAGGGAGCTCTTAACAAGACATTATATTAACTGCCCATAGCAATTCTTGAGAAAGCCAGCTTTTTTGAATAAAGAACTCTGGAGAAACCCAAAGAGTGTTGCATTAACAATACTAAGGTATCCATTATTTCATGACAGCTAAACAAGGGAAGCCATTGACTTTACCTCCTTTAACAAAAAAATAAAAGGAAGGGTTAAATCCAGTGTTCTTAGTTCTTCAAGGATCAAAGGTATTTAATCCAGGTATGCATATACTTAATCAAACTGTGGACAGCACCCTTAGGGGTGTAACTGTGAAGAAAAATAATACTAGTAATGCCTTGCATTTGTATAAGCATAGTTTTCAAAGGGCTTCCCTTATGCATAATCTCTTCAGATTCTCATTACAACCCTGTATAAAGAAAATTAGTATCTATTTTAATTCAATTCAATGAGCATTTAATAAATTCCTACTCTATGTTTGGCAGTAATGCCTACTATGTGTCAGGCATGATGTGAGGCTGCTGGGGCTACTTAGACAAAACCTTTTAAGAACTCAAAACCTAAAAGCAACATAAACAAATATGTACTGAATATTCATGGGGCAGAATACAAACACAAAACGATGTAGTACTTAAATGTATTGTTTATTACAAATGTAAAGTGACACCAGAAAATAAGGGTGAAGGCATAATAAGGCCATTGGTCTTATTTGTACGGGTCTCATTTGCCTCTTTATTCTTCACCTCTCCCTTTTAGTTTGCCCTTACCTCCTATGCTCTAATTTGTTTTTATTTTCTTTTTAATCTCTAAATTTCTCGCCTTTTACTTTCTTCACAGCAACACATGTCCTGGTGGAAACAAAGCAGAGTTTGTTCTGGTAATGTCTGCCTCTGGAATTCAGAAGCCTCAGCATCATGTCCATGGGCAACGGGCCTGCAAGAAAACCATGAAAACCACCCTCCATTTGGAAGGAGCTGCCAGCGTTGCCAGAAAGATCATGTGCTGACAACACTCCAGGAATGGGTGATTATATGTGACCTTAATAGATATGACGGCTGCAAAAGGCATGTCCCTGTGTCTATTCCTTCCTTGAGTCTCACGTTTCATCTAGTGTGAGATCCAGAGATGTTAACTCTAAGAGAGCCCATAGATTGAAGAATATTTTCACTGGCGACCTCTCTTCCTTAATTTCCTCCCATCACCTCAATGTTTATTAACATCACATAATGTGGTGAAATACTTGGTCAGCTAAGAATGAAGTCAACTTGCATGGATTTCTGAGTGAGAGGAGGATTCAGCCATCCAAAGAGCTCAATTACTTTTTGCTCTTTTCCCATACCCAGAAGACATTTTGTCTCTTTCCTCATTTTTACATCTTATACATCTTTTATGACTTCCTAAATATAGATATGTTACAACCTCAATGGAGAGATCATCTGTTGAAGCTCAAGGGATACACACAATGTGCCCAGCAGGCAAATCGCAAAACAAAACAGAGAGTACGCTCAGCACTTTTCCTATGGCTCCACAAAAGAGCCAAAATAAGACTCCTGGAAACATGGGTTGAGTAATCAAGTCCTTTTCCTGGATGTACAACAGCATAGTTTGGGGAGATAATATATTCAGCTCGTGTCATTGAACAGTTTTCTAGAAGAGGAAAATGAAGCATGAGGGGAAAGAAAGGAGAGAGTGTGGCCTCCTTTTGCACCTGCAATGACTTGTAAGCATAACATCTTGCTCCCAGGCAGCCACTTGTCCTGAATTCTCAGGGCCCATGGAAATCATTCTCGCCCCTAGAATTAACTAATTGTGAATGGATTTTTTTTTTCAGGAAGGACAGGAGAGAGGGTGAGGAGTTGGTTGGTTGGTTTGGGAAAAGATTCCTATAGTCAAGAGCTGCAACTAGTAATTTTGGTCCTGGGTACAAATGTCACAAGGAACACTCAAATAATAGGAAATGTACCCTCAAGTCAGTTTCTTGAGTCAAACTTCTTTGGAGGAGGTAAAGAGACTCCATGACACAAAACCCTGGAGTAAGAGAGTAAGAATGACCCTCAGCTCTGCTGAGTGGAGATTTCACTGTTGGGTTGGGGTAGAATAGGGCGAGGCAGGGAAAAGAGCTCCTGGAGAGAGGGAGTGAGGTGTAATGTGGTATGTGGTGTCCTATTTTTAGCTAGTCTTGCTAACTAGGTGCTAAGTTCAGTTGTTTCTACACCCACTGAAGGATTAAATCGTAAGCAGAAGTGTTGTGAAGCTCAAATGAGATAATGAATGTAAAGTACTTTGCAAACCTTAAAGCAATGCCAGTTGTTTAATTATTATTGTTATTATTATTATTATTATCCTCCAGTTACCAAGCCTCCAGTCTGATGATTACATAATTTTCTGAGCCTTCCTACTGCAATTTTGCTGAGTTCAAGCAATGTTTATAGGGCAATTCAAGGGTATGCTGGTAAATGTTTAACAACCAGGCTCTCCAAAAAAAATTTATTTTGCATCAATACTTCCTTATGCTAGCAATCAACAAAGCAAGTCCTGATTCATAGCACTTGCTTGAGATATAAATGCCCACACTGAACATTTAACAATTGGCTATTAAAAGTAGGTTAGAACTACCTGAGCACACCCTTGATTGTAAGTGTCCTTTCAGTTTCAGTGCCCTGGGACAAGAACCCATTTACCCCTCTCTAATTATGGCTCTATTGGAGACATTTATCTTAGTTACCCTTACTGGTCAATTTGAGTTTTCAGCAGACAGGAGCTTCTGAGAATTATTTTATTACTTTGGTGAAATTTATTCTGCTTATTATGGAATAGTGGATAGAGAGCTGGTCTCGAGGCCAGATAGACATGAATTCAAGATCTGACCCTTGAAAAATACTGTGTGACCCCAAGCAAGTACTGTTCACTGCTTTAGGTGTAAAAGCAGGGCTCCATTGAGTAAAACTAACAAATCACTCCAGCTCTGTTCAAAGGGTCAAAATGATACCTTAATCAGTCCAGAACTAAGAAAACTGTAGTGATGAGAATCAGTCAATTAAGTGCCTACTATGTGTTGGGCTCTGTGCTGAGTGCCAGGCCACTCAGAAGGGCAAAAGATAGCCCTTGCTGTCCAAGAGCTCACATTTTAATGGG